CTCTTGAGGGGCGTAGTATACATAGTGTTAGGAAGAGTTCATTCTGTAGTTATAGGTAAGGACCCATGACAGTAAGTGTTGTAACCTAGGGGGAAGTTACTGAATAGAATAATCAAACGAAGGTTGGTAATGAATGATAATACTTAGGACAAGAACAACACATATAAGATTCACTAGCGGCGCGTAGAAGTAGTAGTCAACTGTTAGAAGTGAGTCAAGTGAATTCCACAATGAATCACCAACTGTAGGATATCTACCAACCGCCCCACATGGTCAGATGTGACACAAGGCCGAATTTAATGTGGGGTATCCGAACCCGTAGGCTTGCCCAAAATTCCCCGTAGACCCCGTATAAAACGGGCTCGGGTAGGTTTTTCCCAAGACGAAACTCTGCCCTTCGACATAGCTTCGTCTGGATATCCTCTTTGCACGGAGGCAGAGAGTTTGACCAGCCCAGCTGGAGACGAATCTCTAACTGAAGACCAACATACAGTATTTACTACTGTATTTATATGAATGGGGACATACCCATTATTGTCTGTAAGTATGCTACAACAATTAGATGAATGAATTTAGAATGAAAATGTTCGGACAAACAGAAGGGAAAAAATGAAATGGAAAGAATGAGGAAATAAAAGTAAAATAACATTTTATAAATAATAATAATAATAATAGTAATAATGAAATCGAAATCTCAAAAATGTGGCACATGGGAACATCAACAATTACTGTTATAGTTGGAGCCCTCGGATTGGTTGGAAAAGAATACAGTAGACTAATTGAAGGGATTCCTGGAAGCCCATGCCTTAAAGAAATACAAAAAAATGTTCTCACGAGTACAGCTTACACCTTACGAAGGGCTTTGTCTATGTAATTTTTTTGTGTGTGTGTATTAGTGGAAAATGTCATGATACCTTAGGTCTCTGGACGGGACCCGGAACGAAATGTGTACACACCAGAAATCAAAGGAAATAATAATAATAATAATAATAATAATAATAATAATAATAATAATAATAATAATAATAATACGATAGGAAGGAAAAGCGTTTTAAGTTCTATCGAGAAAATATATTCCAAACGAACATCAAGAAGTTTTACAGGGAAATTGGAAAAAATCTGTTATAGAAGTCAAAATGCTACCATTTATTGAAGAAGAATATTTGGAGCAACCCAAAAGAATATAATCCTAATGCAGAGTAGACGAAACAAGAAGAACAATGAATGAAGGATAAACCTGTACAAGAATGGACAAATATAATCAAGAATAATGTTAGGCAAGCTCTAACAGAATCTCCAAATAGAAATTCTCATGAAATGACAAGGTAACCAACAAAACTACAGCAATCGATCTTCAAAGATACCTGGAAACTATAGAAGACTGGATGATGATCTGTGTGTCAAAGAGTATGATATAAATAAGAAACTTTATTCAGTAATAAAAGAAGCCAACAAATTCGAATGGGAATTTCTAGTGGGTGAAGAAGTGCAAATAAACCATAATACATCTGTTGCTGCGACAAAGAACTTGAAAAAAAAGAAAAAGAAAATACAATGTACCAAATGCAAAAACGATGGCAAGATAAGCCTCTTCATGGTCTATACTCTTCCTGTACCAAAGAAGCTGATGTAAACAAACTCTGTACCCGTCAGTGGTTGCCTAGTGCAAAGTTAAAAGCTGAAACCGAAGGTTTTATTCTTGCTGCACAGGACCAATGCTTGCTAATTAAAAATTGCCATGCACCCATACTGAAAAATTGTCTTAACCGGAAATGCAGATTTTGTAAATAAAATATCCAGAAACAATTGATTATCTTGTATCAGGTTAGACGGTGTCAGCACCAACTGAATATAAAACTCGGCAATATCTGGACTGGAAAATCTGCAACTTTTACAGGAAACTGGTATGAACATCACCCAGAGCCGGTTACAGAGATAAGGACCTGTAAGAATTTTATGGGACTTTACAATACACAGGGACTGAACAATCAAATTTAGAATCGTCCAGACATCGTCATCAAAGACGACAAAACAGAATGTGTTTCGTTATTGATATGACAGTCCCTGCAGACTATAATGTGTCTTTGAAGATCTTAAAAAAGAAACTATGAAAATAAAAAGATAAGTATCTTGAAATGGAAATCTAAAAAGTGTGGCGCATGAGGACATCCATAATTGCAATTGTAGCTGGAGTCCTCGATCTGTGTTATAACTTACTCCTAGTGGTTATAATAATATGTCTTCCTCGTTGTAAAGTCATTAGTATTCTCTCCGACTGACTCCAACAAATTGATATTTACCCAGTATCCCCACTGAGACGAGGTGTGACAGAAAGTCGAGTTTAGTGTGGGGAACATAAGCGTGTATCCTCGGGCCAATGGTGAAAAGTTACACAGCCTCCAATCGCAGGATTGGGCACTTTGCTTTGTCTATTCTTCTCAGCCCCGATTGAGTCGCTCTCTACCTAAAGACAGAGCTTGACAACTCCAAGCCAGACTGCTATCTACTCAGCTCCACCCTCCCCAACTGAGATGAGTTATGACACAAGGTCGGGGTTATTGTGGGGAACCCTTTTGTTCCCACCCGGGCCATTGGTTAAAATTCACCCAGCCCTCGCGAAAGCAGGCTCAGATGCGTTATTTGTCGGTTTTTCTCAGCCGAGTCTCTATCCGAAGACAGATCCCCGGCTGAGTTACCCTCTTCCCGATGACAGAGGTCTTATCAGCAGCAAACCAGACAGCGAAATGTCTGTAGTATTTACCCAGTCTCCGCACTGAGACGAGATGCGACACAAAGTCAAGTTTTCTGTGGGAAATCCGACTGTTTCCACCCGGGACATTGTTCAAAATTTACCCAGCCCTCGCGAAAGCGAGTTAGGTTATATTACTTGTCCGTTTTTCTCAGTCGAGTCTCTATTCGACAAAGTCACCCTCTGTCCGAAGGCAGAGGTCTTGTCAGTAGCAAGCCAGACAGCGAACTGCCTGACTTCGACTGGCTTACTTTGAGTTCATTATTTAAAGCGTTTTACCTAGTTCATTTGTGTTACCGGGGATGTCTTATTTACTCAACAACAGTTTGATTGGAATAGGCTCCGACAGGCCTATTGAAGGGATCCCTGGTAACACATGCCTTAAAGAAATACAAATATTTTCACTCTTAATTCCACACAAGTACTTTATTCATTAAAATGTGTGTAGCCTTAAGTAGTTTTTTAGTAATTTTCTGTTGCTTTTTTAAATATGCTCATTGTAAAATATCAGGATGTTATTTTTTAACTTAGGTCTCTGGTTGGGACCCGGAAGGAAACAAGTATACAACAGAAATCAAAGGTAATAATAATAATAATAATAATTAAAGAGTAGATGGAGCTTGTTGGCCTTGGTTGGCAGCCTGTCTAGGAGGAAGATTACTCTGATTACTTAGTCACATTGATAGTAACCTTGAGGACAACCATTCAAGTGCGTATTTCTTTCATGATAACGTTGGATGAGCTGCGGTTCGGCAGATGATTAGTGATCAGTGGTGATCGGAATTGAATTCCGGATCAACCGATGTCACATTTTCCAGATGAGAACCATGGACATAGGATGTGTAGATGAGGTACTAGGCAATGTGTACATGGGGTACTAGATAATGTGTGGGTGGGGTATTAGATATCGTGTAGGTGGGGTACTAGAAATATGGATGGGGTACTAAATAATATGTGGCCACTAGGTAATGTGTAGGTGGGGTACTAGGTAATGCGTTGGTGGGGTACTAGAAAAGTGTGGGTGGGCTATCAGATAATGTGTACGTGGGGTACCAGATAATGTTTGGGTGGGATGATAGGTAATATATAGTTGGGGTATTAGAAATGTATAGATGGGGTACAGGATAATGTGTGGGTGGGTACTAGATAAAGTGTGGGAGGATACTTGATAATGTGTAGTTGCAGTACTTGATAATGTGTAGTTGGAATACTAGACAATGTGTAGCTGGAGTACTAGATAATGTGTAGGAGGGTACTAGATAATGTGTGGGTGGGGCCGTAGGTAATGTGTGGGTGGGGCCGTAGGTAATGTGTGGGTGGGAGAGTAGGTAATATGTGGGTGGGATTCTTAAAATGGCCCACAAAGAGAAATCGGAAAGCTAAGTTCGAATTCCAGTCAAGTTCATTGTATTCCTTGGGAAAGGAAACACCCTTGGAAAATGTAGGAATCCACATCTTCTACACTCCCTAGTTATGGGTTAAATAGCAAGGCAGACTTTGCTCGCTAGCTGTGGCTGGCAATCATTTTAAAAGAAGGAAAAACCGTAGCAATACAATTCTCCATTGTCCTGACCCTCAGCAATGAAGAAGAAAAGAAGCAATAAATACATAAATTGCTTGCCTCCCTTCGTTAGTTTACACGACCATTATGCCCTGCCAATTACTCATAAATGAAGCACGATTCCATAGGAAGAGGAAAAGCCACTACTTGGTTTCAGTGATAAAAATGAAAGAAAGAATGGAAAACAGACGTGTTTAGCCTCTCCTACCAATACCTCATAAATAATGAACCATTTAGATCATGTGAAAAAATGCAAAAGACATACAGAGACGCTAAATAATGGACTATTTTGATTACGTGGAAAGACAGAAAAGACATATCAGGGACGCTACTTGGTTTCAGTGAGAAAAAAAAGAAAGGGAAGATAGAAATGTTTAATGTCTGTTTTGGTGAAATGGAAAATGTTGTCAATTTCGAATCGTTTCATGTGCATCCCCTTACTTCTTAAAATAAGAATCAACATTCATATTTATGATTGTTATTGCAATCTTTTGTTAAAGTTGTTAAGCTCAAATATCTAACAGGAGGATTTTTACGGATGTTTTATTGTTGTAGAACTCACCATATTCAATTATTAACTTAAGAATTAAGATTCATCAGCAAATTCAAATCAGAAAATCGTAAAATTTCCACAGGTTAAAACTAGTAAAATGAAAAACAGCAAAGCAAGGTTTTAGCTGACAGCACAGAATGGACCCCGGAAAACTTTGTATACCCTTTTTTTTTTTTTCGCGCGCTGATCAAGTTCTCGTATTTTGTGGGTATCATTTCATGAATAGTCAGTATAAATCTTGTCATACTGTGATTTCAATCTAAGAGTGCCATAAGACATACTATGTACACGCACACACGCACACACACACACACACACACACATATATATATTGATATGAGTGTATCATGTCACACATATATAAATAGAAACGTACATACATATGCAATAGTGTAGACATGCATATGTATCAATGGGAGTTCTTCAAAGACATTTGTAACTTTTGTTTTACATTTTTTGAAATGAGTGATGAAAAAGCAGGTCGTGTAGGCAAGAAAATCTTTACCCCTGCGCTGTTGCCGCCCTAACGACTACTAGAAGTGATTCTATGATTACGAGAATCGCTTTTCAGTGGCAGCCCGTGTAGAAATCACTGTTGTTGCTATTAGAAGAGAATTTCAATGTTGAATGTTATACGGTGTCAACGTTAGAAAAGGCTTATACTCTCTCTCTCTCTCTCTATATATATATATATATATATATATATATATATATATATATATATATATATATAAACAAAAAACAGACAAGTCATTCCCCATTTCATCAGAAGGAGTGATAATATATATATATATATATATATCACTCCTTCTGATGAAATGGAGAATGACTTGTCTGTTTTAACCTAACTTTTTTTTTGTTTTTCTCTTTTTTTAATTCAAAATAACTTTCCTTTAAGGAATCTTGCTTTCCTTTTTCTCAACTTTTTTCTTATTTCTTTTTTTTTTCCTTTCTTTCTTGCTTGCTTGTTTTCTCTTTCTTTTTCATTTTCTTTCTTATTTCATTATTGTTTGCTTACTTTCATCTTCTTTCTTTCATTTTCTTTCATTCTTTCTTTCTTATTTTATTTTTTCATTCATTCAGTCTTTATTTCTTATTTCATTTTCTTTCATCCATTTTTTTTTCTTATTTCATTTCTTTCATTCTTTCTTTCTTTTCGTTCTTCTTTTCTTTCTGATTTCATTTTCTTTAACTCATTCATTATTTCTAATTTCATTTTATTTCCTTCTTTATTTGTTCTTTGGACGCAAACGATTTTCTTTGGAAGTAAAAAGAAAGAAATAAGGATTCCTCACAAGAGAAAGCAAATATATGTGTGTGTGTGTGTGTGTGTGTGTGTGTGTGTGTGTGTGTGTGTGTGTGTGTGTGTGTGTGTGTATGTGTGTGTGTGTGTGTGTGTGTGTGTGTGTGTGTGTGTGTGTGTGTGTGTGTGTGTGTGTGTGTGTGTGTGTGTGTGTGTGTGCGTAGAAAGTTTCACGTCTAATGTCGCTCTGCAGTGCAAATAGCCAGCAATTCAATAAACAGAAGATAAACAACTTCAAAACATAAGGAGTTGGTGGTCAGATTCACTAACAATTACTAGTGTTGTGAGTTCAATCCTCGTCGTTGTCTGGCGTTTGACTCCCTGTACTAAGCATGAGATATGTAATTACGAGAAAGTGTCAAGTGGTGGAGGAAAAAAGATGGAGAAGCATGAGACGGTTAAAAAATGGTCAGAATATTCATAGGGAGAAGGAAACGAATAAGGCAGAAGAAGGTCTTTGAAGAGGAGAAAAAAGAAAAATGAAAAGTAATGGATGCCATTGGAAGAAGAGGAAAAAGAACAAGAAGAGGAAAAACGACAAGAAAGAGAAAAACTTGGGAAGATGTTGAACCGAAAGGTCACTAAGCTTATATTATTATTTCGGGATCAACTTCCTATCTTCTCAATCGGCAATGATTACGACTGACCATTTCAATCAGTTTCTTTTAGAAAAATATGAACTCGTAACTGTTGCACTGGATTTTCTGCCAGCCGAATGTAACATTCAATACTAGATGCAAGTCTAGATATCAATATTTGTTATTTTACTTCGTTTTAATATATATATATATATATATGTGTGTGTGTGTGTGTGTGTGTGTGTGTGTGCGTGTTTAACATTGAGCACTGTTTTTTCTCACACTATAGAGTACTTATATGTATTTCTATATGATCGCTCGTTCGTATACTTACCTATATTTATCCATTCGTTTATATATATATATATATATATATATATATATATATATATATATATATATATATATATATTATATGTGTGTGCGTGCGTGTGTCTGTGTCTTTGTATGTTGTGTCTGTATATGTGTGATAAAATATTGTTTTACGGTATACGATATTTATGTGTTAAAGTGCTCAATATCATGGATAGAGCGTATGTAAATAGAAAAGTGGACATTGAAGTCAACACGCAAAGGCGACAGACTGTTTCTTGCTAACCACAATCGTCGGGCCACTTGATTGCATTTAGCATGTAACAGTCTTTCGCCTCTAGGTGTTGACTTCAATGTCCACTTTTATATTTTTTCGTTTCTTATTTCTTGTTTTTCTATTTTTTCTTTCTTTTTCTTCATTTCTTATTTCTTTTTCTTACTTCTCCCTATTTACTTACTTTTCTTTATTTTCTTCTATTTGTCTTTGTTTCTTCTTTTTTCAATTTCTTTCCTGATCATGGTTATTTTCATTCATTCTTTCTTTCATTCATTCATTTCTTACTGTATTTGTTTGCCTTTCTACTTTTTCTTTCTTTCTTTCTTTCTTTCTTTTTTTCTTAATTTCCCATTGTTTCGTATTTTAATCTGTATTTTTCTTTTTCTTTTCTTACCTTCTTTAGTTTTTTCTTGTTTTAATTTTCATACCTTGTTTATTATCCTTTCTTTCTTTCTTTCTTTCTTTCTTGTTTTTCCCTTTTTATAAGTATGGCCGTCTTTTTTACAGGCTATTTTATACGTTCTTACGCGTTTTTCTTCTCTATCACATTTCACCTTTTCCTTTCTATTTTTGCATTCATGCATTCATTGCTTTATTTCGTCTTTCTTTTTTCTTTGTAATTTTCTTAATATGTTCCTTCTTTCTTTCTCTTTTTCTTTCTTTCTTTCTTTCTTTCATTCATTCTTTCTCTGTTTTCCTTATTTCTTTGATTATATCTTTCTTCATTACCTTACCATTTTTTTATTTTGTATTTCTTTCTTCCATTAATTTTCTTTCTATTTCTTTCTTTCTTTCTTTCTTTCTCTTTTTTTCTTTCTTTCTCTTTTTTTCTTTCTCTTTCATTCAACGAACAAATTTTTATTACAGTTTTATTCTTTCAGTTTCTAGTTTTCTTGCTTTTTAGCTCTTTCTCTCTTCAGTCTATCTTTTGGTAATTGTATTTCTCGCACCTACTTTTGTCGTACTATCTATCTATCTATCTATCTATCTATCTATCTCTATCATCTATCTATCTATCCCGTTCTTTTTAGTATCTATTATCATCTATCTATCTATCTATTTATCTATCTATCTCTATCTCAGTCTGTTCATTATCTATCATTTATCTATCTATCTATCTATCTATCTTATCTATCTATCTATCTATCTATCCCATCTATTCATTATCTATCTATCTATCTCATCTATCATTATCTATCTATCTATCTATTCATCTATCTATCTATCTATCTATCCCAGTCTGTTCATTATCTATCTATCTATCTATCTATCTATCTATCTATCTATCTATCTATCTATCTCAGGCTGTTCACTATCTATCTATCTATTTATCTATCTATCTATTTATCTAAGTCTGTGCATCATATATATATATATATATATATATATATATATATATATATCCCTCTTAAATTATGTATACTGTTATAGGCAGCTTCTCATTAAAAAAAACTTCTCAAGTTCGAATCGCACGGATGATTATTTGTTTTTTCAATTCTCTTTACATATCATTTACACTCGATAGCAAAGAACAAGACACAACATATATGAAATAACGAGGAATAAAAAAGCAAAATTGTCGCATAATAATTAAATTGTCGCATCTGCTTGTATTTTCTGTCGCGCGTTCAATATCCCAGGTGAAGAAGATTTTTAAAAATTCTAAATAAAACGTAAAATGAAAAAACAAAAAAATGAGAGAATAAAGAAAACAAGGTGGGAAATGAAAAGCTATGGTACTCGTTGCGTACGATAAACCTGTGTGTCACGTGATCGGATCGATCAGAGGCCACCACCCCGTTCTCCACCTCCCCCACCCACATTGTCGATACCTCCAATTCCGCCTCCGCCCGCTTATTGATGACGACGGCTGTGGCGGCCGATCAGGCGAAGTGACGATCAGTTTCTTTGCGGCAGCCCTCGCCGGCAGAACGGACTTCTGCATCTCCCCATTCACGGTTTTTTCCCCCCCTGTCTTTCAAGTTCTGTCGCTCCCACCAGCCTGCACCGCAGTCGTCAGAGATCTCTTTCGACTTTGCCGTCTATTTCACGTTAATTTTAGAGTCTCCAATTTTGTTGCCTTAAAACAAAGTCCAGGTAAAAAAAAAAAAAAATAATCGCCAAAGGAACAGACGACATCAACAAACCGCGTGCACGGTAGGAAATTTTCTATTTCTAATAATAATCAATATATTCGTGCCTTATATATATATATATATATATATATATATATATATATATATATATATATATATATATATATATATATATATATATATATATATATATATATATATATATATTTTCTAAAGAAAGGAATTGATTCTATATTTATTAATCAGATAGATTTTTAGTACTTAAAAGTTATTTTTAGTGGATACTCGTATTTGAGTCGACGTTTCGTTATTAAATAGTTTTTTGTTCGTCTACCGGCCTAAATATTCGATTAATCTTATTAGAAAAATATGCGCTCTCTAGCAGGATTCGAACCTGCGTTGCCCTAGGGGAAACCGTTATTATATTTGACATGCTTTGAACTGATAAGAAAAATCTGTGGTTAAAGGCACTATTCATACTTTGTTTGGTCACCGACGCGCTCTGTAGCCGAGAGGTCAAAGCACGTCAGATCAAATAAAGAATAAATAAATGGAGCGTCTACTCATATACTAGTATCCACTAAAAAATAACGTTTAAATAATATATATATATATATATATATATATATAGATAGATAGATAGATAGATAGATAGATAGATACAGACAGACAGAGACAGAAAGGGAGAGAAATAGATAGTGAGAGAGAAGGCTGGGGCAACCTCAGTTGTGGGGCACCCAGTGAGTAGCGAACTCCTCTTCTGTGGAGGGAGTTTGAATTTCATCCATTTACGCATTCATCCTTGTGCAAATTTTTGTCAAACCTTATAAAACCTCGATAATGCAAACACAAAAACAGGCACATATACAAAATTAGTGTCCTAAAGGTGCTGAAAAGTTTGGAGCCCCATCCAGAAAGGGATTTTACATAGGATTCCGCTGTTTGATCATACTTTGAAAAGTGGGACGGGCCGAGAAATTTTCGGTACCCTCTTGTAGTATATTTTCCTTTCTCTCTCTGTCTCTCTCCCTCCGTCTCTTTCTTTGTCTGTCGGTCTCTCTCTCTGTCTCTCTGTATATATATATATATATATATATATATATATATATATATTTGAGTGTGCGTGCGTGTGTGTTTGTGTGTGTGCGTCAGTGTTGGGGTGGGGTGATTGTAAAAGGAGTTCTTGACAAAAGTAAAGTTTTAACACGAGGACACCTTTTTTACGGAACATGCAGCGAGCCAAACTCACTATTAAAAAAGGGTTTCAGAGGGCAAAAAATCCCAGCAGATCTTTACCTATATGTATATACATACATACATCTATCTATCTATCTATCTATCTATCTCTCTCTCTATATATATATATATATATATTTCAGTATGTTCGTTATCTCTCTCTCTCTCTCTCTCTCTCTCTATATATATATATATATATATATATATATATATATATATATATATATGTATGTTCTATCTATCTATCTATCTATCTATCTATCTATCTATCTCAGTCTGTTTATATCTATTTGCTTGACCATTCTTCTGACTTTTTGGGACTAAATAAAACCACACCAACTTTTTCCATTGTTGTCAGTGTTCGATTTTCGATAGAGATTCGGATTTCGAATGCTGATTTTGTAAACATACAGCTTTTTCTCTAGAACACATTTCTCTCTCTTTACATTCTTTCCATCTTCTTCTTTTACTCTAAGAAACATCGCATGAATATTTCTATTTATGCATCTATCTGTATTAGTCTTTTCATCTATCTATCTATCTAT